CTCCCCTCCCGACCCCAGTTGCCCAATGATAACCAGAAGTGACAACGGCCACAGGAGCCGCGCGCCCAGTTGTGCTTTTCACGTGCCTTCCTCAGAACAACCCTAAGAGAGACTATCGTTTGTTGTCCTGTGTTACGCGTACACTCCTAGATTACTGAGTACAGACTGTGCCCCAGGCCCTGTGTTTTAAACGCCTGACCTTCGCCATCGCATTCGTTTCTTCTCTTGGGTTTGCTGTTTTGCTTTGCTCTGTCGCCCCGGCTGGAGTGCAGCGGCGTGATCATAGCTCACTATAACCTCCAATTCCTGGGCTCCGCGATCCTCCCGCCTCGGCCTCCTAAACACTGAGATTATAGGCCTGAGTCACCATGCCCGGCCTGTCTTTATCCCTATTTTGCAGATAAAGAAACTGAAGCTGAGAGATGTATGCTCACTTTGGCCATAGTAAACAACTGGTACTAGGACCAATAGATGGCACCCAGGACTGTGTTCCTTGCTGACCCAACAGGGGGGAGGAAGCAGAGGCTGAAGGTGGGGCAGGGGCTCTAGGGGAAATGAAGATGAGGAGTGGGGCCCGGGATGGGGTGGCTCATGTGCTGATTATCATGTGGTGCAGGTTTAGGATCCACACAGACCTGGTTTCCTTTCCAGGCTGTGTTTTTTGGGGTTTTTTTGAGTCGGTGTCTGTGTCACCCAGGCTGGCCTGCCATGGCACATCCACGCCACCACAGCCTCGACATGGTGGGCTCAGGCAATCCTTCTGCATCAGCCTTCCAAGTAACTGGAACCACAGGTGTGTGTCACCACACCTGGCTCATTTTTCTTTTTGATTTACTGTAGAGATGGGGTTTCGCCAAGTTGCCCGTGCTGGTCTCAAACCCCTGGCTCAGGCAATCCTCTCATCTCCACCTCCCAAAGTGCTGGGATTACAGGCGTGAGCCACGGCACCTGGCTCCTTTCCAGGGTCTTTAAGGCACTGGGAGTACAGCCTCTGGACAATGGCTTCACCTCTCTGACCCCGATTTCTTCTTCATATATAAAATGGAGATAATATTCCCTATTAGACATGGTAATATGCTTAAAGGACTTAGATGTGGTGCGATAGCATATGTCCAACATTTACCCAAAGCCCAACCAAGTAAGCACTCTAAACATGTTTGACAGCATTTGTTAATATTATTATTGGCTGGGCACGGTGGCTCAAGCCTGTAATCCCGGCACTTTAGGAGGCTAAGGCGAGAGGATTGCCTGAGCTCACAGGTTCGAGACCAGCCTGGGCAACCTGATGAAACCTCATCTCTACAGTAAATCAAAAAAATAAGCGAGGTGTGGTAGCATGCGCCTATAGTTCCAGCTGCTTGAAAGGCTGAGGCAGAAGGATCACCTGAGCCCAGCAGGTTGAGGCTGTGGTGGCCGTGAACATGCCACCGCACTCCAGCCTGAGCAACAGAATGAGATTCTGACTCAAAAAAACAAACAACATATTATTATTTACATCCATCTCCATCAGCCTGCTTAGAGGACTCTCTTTACTCTGTAATCCTCCACCTCCTTCAGGGAGTCTTGCATCGACTTCCTTCCCATCGACTTCCTTCCCATCTCACCAGGTTGGAGGATTCCCTGGTGGATGTCAGGTGGGCCAGAGTTCCCTTGCTTCAGGGCTCCAGGGCTTCAGAGCTCGGGGCTCCGGGGCTCTGTGCCAAGAGTCCAGATGCTGGAGCTGGCACCAGCCCCACTCCTGGGGAGAACAGATGGCGTCTGCAAGTGCACTTGGCTCAGCCAGAGTTTCTGGCAGACAACAGAGTCAGGGAGACCCATGGGAGGGTAGATGAGAGGGAGAGGGGGCAGGATTGTTGTGCCCAGGAGGGATGCCCTGACTATCTCCTTAACCTCGCTCTGGTTGTTTCTTCATTACTATAGAACATAGGCTATATTTATTCTGTTTGCAGTTGGAATCCTCCCACATCAGTGTCTGCTCCACAAGGGCTGGGATTTGATCTCTTTTGTTCAAGGCTGTGCCTCGGGGCCTAAAACAGTGCCTGGCACAAAGCGTGTTTTCGTTACATGTTTGTGGAATGAAGGGATGAATCCGACCAGCCTCAGTTTTTCGCTGAATCACTGAGCTGTGTGTGTCCCCTCATCCTGCTAGGCCATCCTAGAGATTAATTCACTCCAGCTCTCTGCTCTCTGACCACCATCAGCAATCTCTATTGCTCTCTAGCCACCATCAGCTTTGCACAGTCTCCTCAACTCCATCCCTTTTAGGGAGTCAGGAAATGCCTAGGCCTCTTAGAGTTCGTGATGGACCTGGAATATTAAACATGAGATTCCAGCAAGTATTGTCAAATGGAGGCTCAAACCATTGACAGCAAGTTTGATGAGGAATGGGATGTTGATTCGGTCTCAGAGTATCTTCCCACAGATTAATTATTACACAGGGGGAAAAAGGAGTATCAGTGGACAAAACTGGCAGACAAAACATCACCTTAACAAGCTGACAGACATTAACATCACTAGTGGCTCATGTCTATAATACCAACATTTTGGGAGACCATGGTGGGAGGATTGCTTGAGTCCAGAAGTTCAAAACCAGCCTGGGCAACATAGTAAAACCTTGTCTCTACAAAAAATTTTTAAAATTAGTTGGGCATGGTGGTGTCCACCTGTAGTCAGGATATTGAGGCAGGAGGATTGCTTGAACTCAAGAGTTGGAGGCTTCAGTAAGCCAGGATCATGCCACTACACTCGCTGGCTAAGTCTGTAATCCCATGCTTTGGGAGGCTGAGGTGAGTGGATTGCCTGAGCCCACAGGTTCGAGACCTGCCCGGGCAAATTGGCAAGACCTCATCTCTACAATAAATAAAAAAATTAGCCAGGCGTGGTAGCGTGTGGGACAGAATGAGACCCCCAACTTCTTAAAAAAAAAAAAGTTACATCACCATTAATGGGACAAATCAACCTCATGTGTCTCCTGATATCATGCACTGAGAAAAACAAAATATCATCTCTGTGGTTTTCCTGAAGAAAATATATAACTTGAATCTAATAATTAGAGAACCCAGCCAGCTGGGCTCACTGGCTCAATCTGTAATCCCATGCTTTGGGAGGCTGAGGTGAGTGGATTGCCTGAGCCCACGGGTTTGAGACACGCCCGGGCAAATTGGCAAGACCTCATCTCTACAATAAATTAAAAAATTAGCCAGGCGTGGTAGCGCGTGCCTGTAGTTCCAGCTACTTGCAAAGCTGAGGCAGAAGGATCGCCGGAGCCCAGCAGGTCGAGGCTGTGAGTGTGCGTGCCACTGCCCTCCAGCCTGGGCAAGATAAAATCAAAAGCTAGTAGGGCTATTGTAGATGAAAAGAAACTTTAAAAAAAAATGACAAATAAAGACAACATGTGATCCTGGATGTGAGTAGGGCATAGTGACAATGTCCATTAGTGGGACTATGGAGCATAGGGTATATGTATTTTGTTCATTTGGAATCCACCCACATCAGTATCTGCTCCACAGGGGCTGGGATTTGATCTTTGTTGTTCAATTGGGGACATCTGGGGAAAACTGGGGAAAGCCAAATATCAACTATAGCTTAGAAGATGGCTTTGTAACAATGTTAAATTTGTACTGTGATAACTGTTAAATTGGTACTATGGTTATACAAAAGAATTATCTTTTTTGTTTGTTTGTTTTTTGTTTTTTGAGCTGGAGTCTCACTCCGTCACTCAGACTGGAGTGCAGTGGCCGCTCCCAGTCACCGCAGCCTCGACCTGCTGGGCTCCGGCGATCCTTCCGCCTCAGCCTTCCAAGTAACTGGAACTACAGGCGCGCACTACCACACCGGCTAATTTTTTTATTTATTGTAGAGATGAGGTCTCAACCAAGATGCCCAAGCAGCTCTCGAACCCGCGGGCTCAGGCAATCCATTCACCTCAGCCTCCCAAGGTGTGGGATTACAGGCTGAGCCACCGAGCCCGGTTCAAAAGAATTATCTTAATTGAATAATTTTACTATTAAAAATAACTAATTATGCCTACAATGTATATATATGTGTGTGTGTGCAGAAAAGCGGGTAAAAGATGAACAGGAATTTCACAAAAGAGTAAATCTGAGCCAGGCACAGTGGTTAATGCCTGTTGTCCCAGCGATGGGGGAGGCTGAGGTGAAAAGATCACTTGAGCCCAGGAGTTCCAGGCTGCAGTTCGCTATGATCACTGCACTCCAGACTGGGCGACAGGGAAGACCCTGTTTCAAAAAAATAAAAACAAAAACAAGGGAACAAAAACTATCAATAATAGCAAACATTTATAGTGTTTTCTATGTGCCAGGGACTGTCTTAAATTCATTACATATTTATATTAGTTATCCAATGCTGCATAACAAATAACCTCCAAAACTTAGTGGCATAAAACAACACGTATTTGTTACCTCCTATAGTTTCTGTAGGTCAGGAACCTGGCAACAGCTTAGCTGGCTGGTTCTGGCTCAGGGTCTTCCATGAAGTTTCACGAAACTTCCATGAAGTTAACCGGTCAGAGCTGCCATCATAGGAAGACTTGATTACTACTAGAAGATTTAGCCAGGCTCGGTGGTTCAGCCTGTAATCCCGCGCCTTTAGGAGGCTGAGGTGAGTGAATTACCTGAGCCCGCAGGATCGAGACCCGCCTGGGCAATTTGGTGAGACCTCATCTCTACAATAAATCAATAAAAAAATCAGCCAGGCATGGTAGCGCATGCCTGTAATTCCGGCTACTTGGAAGGCTGAGGCGGAAGGATCACCAGAGCCCAGCAGGTCGAGGCTGCGGTGGCCGGGAGCGACCACTGCACTCCAGTCTGGGCGACAGAGTAAGACTCCAACTCAAAAAAATAAAATAAAATAAAAATACTAGAAGATTTGCTTCCCAGATAAGTCACTCACATTGTTGATTGTTGCCAGAAGACCTCAGTTTTTCTCCATGTGTGTCTCTCCACTGGCTGCTTCAATGTCCTCACATTATGGCTGACTATCCTCCTAGTGAGCTGTCCAAGAGAGCCAGCAAGGAGACAGCCTGAAGTCCTTTTATGACCTTGTCAGGAAGTCACATAGCAGCACTTCAACCATATTCTGTTGGTTAGAAGCAAACTGCTAAATCTGGCCACATTCAAGGGGAGGGAAATTGGACTCCACCTAAAAGGAGGTTGCCCAAGAAGCTGTGGATATGTTTTAAAACAGCTTCATACATTAACTCTTTCAATTTGAAAATGTGAAATGTACCCATTTGAATTTAAAGCTATTGGAACTTTAGGTTATTCTGAGCCTTGAGAGGGATGTGGCTATGCAGCCTGAGTTACATAGCATGCAGTTACAATGTCTGCTTTCTCTCCTAAATGGTTAGGAATGACAGAGTGGTGTCAAAGATAAGACCCCAGTGGTGCCAGAGATAAGCTCCCCTCAGAACATAAGGTTAAAACATTCATATGATGCTTCCTCACGGAATGTTAAAGCAGTCTTACTTGGATGTGGCAAGCTACTGTAACTTATCAAATTGCTGTAACATTCCTACTGGCCTTGTATGGAAACTATTGCAACCCTGCTAACATTGTTTCTGCCTATATAAGTGAAACCCTAGCTTCCCCACTTTTGAACACTAAATCCATCCCTTTAACGTGGATGGCCAGTCTCAAGCTTTGTACTAAAATAAATGCTATACTTAATCATATTTTCTGAATCTTATCATTTAATACATTTTAATTTAATATAATCAAAGTATTATTTAATTTAAATATTTGTTTAAATGATCATTATTTTATTTATTTATTTATTTTGAGTTGGAGTCTCACTCTGTCGCCCAGACTGGAGTGCAGTGGCCGGGAGTGGCCACTGCAGCCTCGACCCACTGGGTTCCGGCGATCCTTCCGCCTCAGCCTTCTGAGTAACTGGAATTACAGGTATGCGCTACCACACCTGGCTCGCATTTTTTTTTTGTATTTATTGTAGAGATGAGGTCTCGCCAAGTTGCCCAGGTAGGTCTTGAACACGCGGGCTCAGGCGATTCACTCACCTCAGCCTCCCAAAGCGCGGGATTACAGGCTGAGCCACCGAGCCTAGCATTTAAATTATTAAATTAAGTTAATATTTTATTTTTTTGTATACACAGGAGCCTTCAGAATGAAGACCTCCACAATAATAATCTTACACAGTGGGTACTCATTTATCTTCATGTTACAGATAAAGAAACTGAGTCACAGAGAGGCCAACGGTCACACAGAAGGGGCAGAGCCAAGACTTGAATCCAGGCAGTTGACTTGTGACTCATTTTCTTAATCACTAATAGCAATCAATGGGGAAGAAACCAAATGAAGAAAAAAATATTAAAAAGGAGCTCTGCTGGGCTCGGTGGCTCAGCCTGCAACCCCGCGCCTTTGGGAGGCTGAGGTGAGTGGATTGCCTGAGCCCGCGGGTTCGAGACCCGCCTGGGCAGGCGAGACCTCATCTGTACAATACAATCAAAAAATTAACCGGGTGTGGTAGCACGCGCCTGTAATTCCGGCTACTCGGAAGGCTGAGGCGGAAGGATCGCCGGAGCCCAGCAGGTGGAGGCTGCGGTGGCCGGGAGCGGCCACTGCACTCCAGTCTGGGTGACAGAGTGAGACTCCAACTCAAAAAAGCAAACAAACAAACAAACAAAAAAAGGACCTCTGACAGGACTTCACTGGGAAATGATGTCTAAGATGACATTCAGGGACGTCTATATCTCTTCAGTACTGCGGGATGTGCATCCAGAAGAGGCAGAAGAGCAGAGAATTTAAGAACATAAGGTTGGGCCGAGCGCGGTGTTTCAAGCCTGTAATTCCAGCACTTAGGGAGCCCACGGTTCAAGAATGACCTGGGCAACTTGATGAGACTTCATCTCTACAATAAATCAAAAAATTAGATGAACTTGGTAGCTCATGCCTGTAGTACCAGCTACTTGGAAAGCTAAGGTTGAAGGATCGCCTGAGCCCAGCAGGTTGATGCTGGGGTGGCCGTGAGTGTGCCACAGCACTCCAGCCTGGGCAACGGAGTGGGACTCCAACTCAAAAAAAAAAAAAGGAGAGAAACATAAGGTTGGCCAGGCGTGACTCACGCCTATAATCCCAGCACATTGGGAGGCCGAGGTGAGAGGATTGCTTGAGCCCATGGGTTCGAGACCAGCCCGGGCAACTTGGCATGACCTCATCTCTACAATAAATCAGACACACTGATCATAGGCCTGTCTGACCCTGTCCAAACCTGTCCCTAAACCTTATGAGGTGTTTGTTTTTATCAGTTTTAGAGACAGGTCTCGCTCTGTTGTCCAGACTGAAGTGTAGAAGTGCAATCATAACTCACTGCAGTCTCAAACTCCTGGCCTCAAGGGATCCTGCCACCTCAGCCTCCTGAGTAGCTGGGATTACAGGTACATACCACTGTGCCCGTGTGTGTGTGTGTGTGTGTGTGTGTGTGTGTGTGTGTGTGTGTGTGTGTATTTTAGTAGAGAATTCTGTCTCATTTATTGCCCAGGCTGGTCTCAAACCGCAACTTCTGGGCTTCAGTGATCTTCCCTCTTGCCTCCGCCTTCCAAAGCACTGGAATTACAGGCCTTTGCCACCATGCTTGGCTAAACCTTATGTCCTTTTTTTTTTTTTTTTTTTTTTTTTGAGTTGGAGTCTCACTCTGTCGACAGCCCAGGCTGGAGTGCAGTGGCATACTCTCAGCCACCACACCCTAAACCTGCTGGGCTCAGGCGAACTTTCTGCCTCAACCTTCCAAGCAGCTGGAACTGCGGTGGCCGTGAGTGTGTCACTGCCTGGGCGACAGAGTGAGACTCCAACTCAAAGAAAAAGAAACCCAAGTAGATAGAAATACAGGTGCGCGCCACCATACAGCTATTTTTTTTTTTAATTGTAGAGATAAGATCTTACCAAGTTGCCCAGACTGGTCTCAAACCTGTGGGCTCAGGCAATCCTCTTGCCTTGGCCTCCCATAGTGCTGGGATTATAGGTATGACTCACCGCACCCGGCCTCTTCATCTTAAACAAAAAGCTGATGATATTACCTACCCTATGGAATGTCTGTGAAGATTCAAGGAGATAATGCATGTAAAATGTCTAGTTCATAGCCGGGCTCGGTGGCTCAGCCTATAATCCCGCGCCTTGGGAGGCTGAGGTGAGTGGATTGCCTGAGCCTCAGGTTCGAGACCCACCTGGGCAACTTGGTGAGACCTCATCTCTACAATAAATCAAAAAAATTAGCCGGGTGTGGTAGCGCACGCCTGTAGTTCCAGCTACTTGGAAGGCTGAGGCGGAAGGATCGCCGGAGCCCAGCAGGTCGAGGCTGCAGTGGCCGGGAGCGGCCACTGCACTCCAGTTTGGGCGACAAAGTGAGACTCCAACTCAAAAAAAAAAAAAAGAAATGTCTAGTTCATAAGGGATGGCACAAAGGAAGAACTCAATAATACTTGTATCTATTAGTGACATTATTCTGCTGAATTATTTTATACATATATTATCCTTTTGAAATGTTGCCCCCCCCCCCACCTATAATTTTGAGTCGGTAACTCTATCTTTTGCAGTCTTTGTGTTGCTATATAGTAGGGAATAAGTTCTTGCAGGATTCCTGGTATGGGCTGCAAGAACAAAGGACTAAGGTTCAACACGACTTAGAGGGCGGGAGAGGCACTGTTCAGGGATTCAGGCTGTGTGAGTAACTGAGTTACTGTCTCTGCACCCACTGCATGAATAACAACTGCAACCTAGTGCTCAACAGGGTCACAGGACACACTATTGGGTGAGCTGTCATTGGAAACAGGATTTTCTGCAGATAAAGGACCCTCAGTTCCTCATTTCTCAGCCGCACTCCCCTTGCTCAGAATCAAGCCTTATCAGTGCAGAAAGTGACAGTAGCTCTGAGGAGGAAGTGGGGCGTACCGGTTCTGGAGAAGCCTGGGAAAAGGGAAGGGAAACACACTCCCCAACCGAGGAGGAATTTTTTTTTCCAGTTACAAGGCAGGAGGATGCACACGACAGAATTCCTTCCCGTCCTGGTTTAAGTCTCTGATTTGTGATTCTGGACCGGAGAGAGTCTTCCCGGGGTTGGGCGAGCACGGAGCATCCAGGGATTTGCTTATTTTGTAAAGAGGGTATCTGAGGCTCAGGGCGGTGGCTCACACCTGTCATCCCAGCACCTTGGCAGGCGGAGGCTAGAGGAATGCCTGAGCCTAGGGGTTCGAGACCAGCCTGGACAACTTGGTGAGACGTCGACTCTACAATAAATCAAAACATTGGCCAGCGTGGTGGCGCACACCTGTAGTTTCAGCTACTTGGGAGGCTGAGACAGAAGGATCGCCTGAGCCCAGCAAGTCGAGGCTGCGGTGGCCATGTGTGCCGCTGCACTCTAGCCTGAGCGACAGAGTGAAACTCCGACCACACACACACAAAAAAAGGACATCTGGGATAAACAGTGGGTGCTCAAACTTCCTCAGCCACACTCAAGACGGCAGCTGCCCAGCTGTGCCCCAAATGGAGAAACCCTCGGCCTTGTCTGCAGAGACACGCAATATTCCCAAAATGGAGCGAAAGAGAAAATGTCCATCACATCTTCTCCCCGCCCCTAAGGGTAATTACAACCAATCACCGGCGAGCAGGGCGGGGAAAAGGCCAGGGGAGGAGTCTGTTGTTGCCCCAGCAACAGCCAGGGCACTCCCGGCGAGCGCCGCTGCGGAGGTATCGCTCCTCCGATTTCTCGCCGCCAGGAAGGTCCTAGGAGAGATGCAAGCCAGGCCTTGTAGGCACCCACGGAGAAGACTGGTCGAGCCCATGAATCCCCGCTGCCGCTTTCGCCACTCCTAACCGTTAAGCGCGCTGAGGTAGGAATAACGCATGCGCTGCGCCCAGGGGCGGGGCTAAGGCACCCTGAACTCAAGACGCATGCGTCTCATGGAGCTTGGGGGCTGAACTGACCCGGGAGGCGGAGCTCTGAGCTCGTGGGCGGAGCCATAGGCCCGTGGGGCGGGGCTTGCCGCGGGACTGCGCCAAAGGGGAAGGTTATCTTAGATCTGGCAGAGCTAGATGCTGGCTCCCCAGCCCAGGGCACCTTCTCTTTTCTCCAGGCGCTCCTGGGAAGGCAGTTAGGATCTGTGGTTAAGACTGCAGCCTCGGGGTTTTTTTTTGTTTTAGTCGGAGTCTTACTGTCGCCCAGGCTGGAGTGCAGCGGCAGGCTCACGGCCACCGCATCCTCGACCTGCTGGGCTCAGGCGATCCTTCCACCTCAGCCTTCCAAGTAGCTGGAACTACAGGCGCGCACCACCACGCTGGCCAATGTTTTGATTTGTTGTGGAGACGAGGTCTTGCCAAGTTGCCCGGGCTGGTCTCGAACCCCTGGGCTCAGGCAGTCCCTCTCGCCTCCACCTCCCAAAGTGCTGGGACCACAAGGCGTGAGCCACCGTTCCCGGCCAGCCTCCCGTTTGACGAAACTAGATTGAAATCCTAGTACTCTATTACTTAGTGGGCCTCAGTTTCCCCATCTGTGATCATATTTTTCTTCTCCCAGGGCCATGGCTGAGGTGCATGTGATTGGGCAGATCATGGGAGCCTCCGGTTTCTCTGAAAGTAGCCTCTTCTGCAAGTGGGGCATCCACACAGGTATCCTCCCACCCAGGCCTGGTTCATTTCCCTGCCAAGGTCCCTAGCCTAGGGGCCCTACATTCCTTCCCTGACCTCCTGACTCAGTCCTTGTCGTCTTTCTTTTTTTTTTTGAGTTGG